CACGTCGTTTGAAAGAACAAAAATTGGTCGAAGGTTATTTAGACAGAAGTTTTCTCGGTCTTGAAATGTAGCCCAACAAATCCTGCTTCTTTGAAAAACTGATTTTTTTGCGATTTTTGTTCCGATAAGCTCTATAAAGTAAAAACCAGCGGCATAAATAACACTCCCGCAGCTTTTTTGACTCGAATTTTCCAATTTTCCAACTTTTGAATTTTTCAATTTTTCGTTTCGGTTTTTTATTTTCTTTATTTTTACAATTTTTCAGTTTTTCCATTCTTCAAAACTTGTCGGCTCTAATTTTCGATATGCAATTTTTCGAGTTTTCGATGCTCGGAATTTATAATTTTGTTTCGGTTTCTTCAATTTTTCGTTTCCTTAATTTTTCGATTTGGAATTTTTCAAATTTTCATTTTTTTTTGTTCCTTCATTTTTAAACTTTTCTATTTTTCAATTTTTCATGTTTGCAATTTCTCCTTTCCGTTTTTTATTTTCTTTATTTTTTCTAATATTCGATATTTCAGTGTTTAAAATTTAATTTTTTTTCGATTTAAAATTTATCGAGTTTTCATTTTTAATTTTTCAGTTTTCCGATTCTTTAATTTATCGTCTCCAATTTTGGATCTGCATTTTTTCGTTTCGGTTTTTAATTTTCTTTATTCTTACAATTTTTCGAATTTTCGATGTTCAGATTTTATAAAGTTTTGTTTTTTCAATTTCCATTTTTTCAATTTTTTGTTTCCTTAATTTTTGGATTTGCAATTTTTCAAGTTTTCATTTTTTTGTTCCTTCAAGTTTACGCCATAGAACTCTTCCAGTTTTCACTTTCAAACTTTTCTAATTTTAATTTTTAAAACTTTTCGATCTGCAAAATTTTCGTTTCCGTTTTTTATTTTCTTTATTTTTTCAATACATATTCGATTTTTCAGATTTTAAAATTTTTGTTTCTTCAATTTATCAATCCTTATTTTTTTTGTTTCTTCCGTTGTTAAATTTTACAATTTTTCGATTCCTTAATTTTTCGTTTCTAATTTTCGAGCTGCAATTGTTCATTTCGCTTTTAATTTTCCTTAATTATTTTGTTTGGTTTTTTCAATTTCGATTTGCAACTTTTCAAATCTTCATTTTTAGAACTCAAGTTTTCAATAAATTTTTCTATTTTTTAATTTTTCATTGTTGAAATTTTTGATTTGCAATTTTTCGTTTCCGTTTTTTATTTTCTTTATTGTTTCAAATGTTACATTTTTCAGTGTTTAGAATTTATAATCTTTTTTTATATTTTTTAAATTTTGTTCCCTATTTTTTTAATTTTGCAATATTTCGATTTAAAATTTCTCAAGTTGTCAATTTAAAATTTTTTCAATTTTTCGTTTCTTCGATTTTTTTTTGAGATTTTGTAATTTGACGAATTTCGGTTTTTAATTTTTTAATTTCTCTATTGCTCAAATTTTCGATTTCTAATTTTTACATTTCTTCTTTTTTTCAAAGTGAATTCTTTCAATTTTCGGCATTTTTCAATTTTTCGACTTTACAACTTTTTATATATTTTTTAATTTTCCGTTTTTTCAATTTTAGATTTTTCAGTTTCTCGATTTTTCCATTTTACGTTTCCTGAATTTTTGGATTTGCACTTTTTCAAATTTTAGTATTTTTTTGGTTGTTTCAATTTTACGTTATGAACGTTTCAATGTTTCAATTTTTAGATTTTGCAATTGTTTCATTTGCAATTTCACAAGAATTCAGTTTTCAATTTTCCGTTTCCGTTTTTTATTTTCTTTATTTCGTCAAATATTCGATTTTTCAGTATTTAGAATTTATAATTTTTTGTTTTTTCAATTTTGAGTTTTTGAATTTTTCATTCAATTTTTCGAATTGTAAATTTTTCAGTTTTTCCATTCTTTAATTTGTCGTCTCTAGTTTTCGATGCTCGGAATTTATAGTTGTTTGGATTTCTTCAATTTTTCGTTTCCTTAATTTTTCGATTTGGAATTTTTAAAATTTTCATTTTTAAACTTTTCTATTTTTCAATTTTTCATGTTTGCAATTTCTCCTTTCCGTTTTTTATGTTCTTTATTTTTTGAAATATTCGATATTTCAGTGTGTAAAATTTATATTTTTTGGTTTTTCAATTTTAATTTCTTGAATTTTTCATTTCTCCAATTTTTCGATTTAAAATTTATCGAGTTTTCAATTTCTAATTTTTCAGTTTTCCGATTCTTTAATTTTTCGCCTCTAATTTTGTATCTGCAATTTTTCGTTTCGGTTTTTAATTTTCTTTATTCTTACAATTTTTCGAGTTTTCGATGTTCAGATTTTATAAAGTCCTGTTTTTCCAATTTCCATTTTTTCAATTTTTCGTTTCCTTAATTTTTGGATTTGCAATTTTTCAAAATTTCATTTTTTGTCCCTTTCAGTTTACGCCATAGAACTCGAGTTTTCACTTTCAAACTTTTCTGATTTTCAATTTTCATTTCTTAAATTTTTCGATTTGCAAATTTTCGTTTCCGTTTTTTATGTTCTTTATTCTTTCAAATATTCCATTTTTCAGTGTGTAGATTTTAACATTTTTTGTTTCTTCAATTTTTCAATCCTTATTTTTTTTGTTTCTACCATTGCTAAATTTTACAATTTTTCGATTCCTTGATTTTTCGTTTCTAATTTTCGATCTGAAATTTTTCATTTCGGTTTTAATTTTCCTTAATTATTTTGTTTGTTTTTTCAATTTCAATTTTTTCAATTCTTCGATTTGCACTTTTTCAAATCTTCATTTTTAGAACTCATCAAGTTTGCAAAATTTTTCTATTTTTTCATTTTTCATTGTTGAAATTTTTTATTTGCAATTTTTCGTTTCCGTTTTTTATTTCCTTTCTTGTTTCAAATGCTCCATTTTTCAGTGGTTAGAATTTATAATCTTTTTTTATATTTTTTTAATTTTTCATTTCTTCAATTTTTCGATTTGGAGATTTTTTATTTTTTTTTTAATTTTGTGCCCTACATTTTTAAATTTTGCAATATTTCGATTTAAAATTTGTCAAGTTGTCAATTTCAAATTTTTCAATTTTTCGTTTCTTCGCTTTTTTTTGAGATTTTGTAATTTGACGAGTCTCAGTTTTTAATTTTTTAATTTCTCTATTGTTCAATTTTTCGATTTGCAATTTTACATTTTCTAATTTTTCTTTTTTTCAAAAAGAAATTTTTCAATTTTTGGCTTTTTCAATTTTTCGATTTGCAGTTTTTTGAATTACAATTTCTCGACTTTCCAATTTTTATATTTTTTTCAATTTTTCGTTATTTCAATTTTAGATTTTTCAGTTTCTGGATTTTTCAATTTTACGTTTCCTGAATTTTTCGATTTGCACTTTTTTAAATTTTCGTATTTTTTTGGTTGTTTCAATTTTACGATATGCAACGTTTCAATGTTTCAATTTTTAGATTTTGCAATTTTTTTCATTTGCAATTTCATAAGAATTCAGTTTTCAATTTTCCGTTTCGGTTTTTAATTTTGTTGTTTTTTTTTTTCAATTTTTCCGTTGTCCAATGTTTAGGTTTTACAGTTTTTTTTTTGTTAAGGTGAAATTTTTAGAGTTACAATTTTTAGATTTTTTTGACTTTTCGTTTTTCAATTTTGGATTTTTCAGTTTTTCTATTTTTGAATTTTACCATTTTCCAGTTGTTTTTGATTTCACAGTGTTACAGTTTCTTGACTTTACAATTTTTTACGATTCTGTAATTTTTCGATTTTACAATTTTATGGGTTTTACGATTTTTCGATTCGACTCATTGATTTTTTTCGATTTTTGAATTTCTCAATTTTTAATTTTTCACTGTTTGAATCTGTTTTCTTCGGAAATTAAGAACTTGAAAAATTGAAAAATCAAAAAAACGAAATATTGTAAAATGGAAATATGGAACATTAAAGAAGTCGGAAAATCGGATAACTGAGAAATTCAAAAACTGCAAAAATTATTAAATAAAAATATTGTAAAATCGAAAAAAAAATTAAAATTTTGAAAAATCGAAAAATTGGAAATTAAGGACTTGAAAAATTGAAGAAACGGAAAATTGAAAAATCGAAAGACTAAAAATTAAGAAACTTAAAAATTGAAAAACGGCAAAACAGAAAAAACGAAATATTGAAAATTAAAGAAATCGTAAAATCGAATAATTGAGAAATCTAAAAATCACAAAATTGAAAATTTTAAAAATAGAAAAATCGGCGAATTGAAAAATCAAAGATTGAAAATTTGAAAAATTGAAATTATAAAATCGAAAGAAACATTGAAAAAAAAAATGAAGAAATAAAGGAAATTTTGATAAAAAATCGAGAATAAAATTTTAAAAATGGGGAAAATGAATAACAAAAATCAAGATCTTGAAAAATTGAAAAATCGAAAAATTAAAAATTGAGAAAAAGAAAAACTAAAAAACGAAAAATTGAAAATTTGGAAATCGAAAATAAAAAATTTGAAAAAATTTTTGCAAAAAGGAAAAATTATAAAATCAAAAAATTGAAAAATGGAAAAATTAAAAAATTAATGAAAGTGAAAAAACCAAAAATTGTGATATCAAAAAATTGTCCAATCGAAGAAAACTGAAAAACGAAAAAGTATAAAATGAGACCTTTGAAAAATCTAAAAATTGGAAATTGAGAACGAAAAATTGAAAAATCGAAAGATTGGGAAACCTAAAAATCGAAAAATGCAAAACTGTAATATCAAAAAATTGCAAAACTGGAAAATTTCAAATCGAAATATTGAAAATTTGAAAAATTAAATAGAATAAAAACAAAAATTGTGATATCAAAAAAGTGGTCAATCCAGATTTTTCAAAAAACACGACGGAAACGGGAGACCTATTTCTTGGCACTCTAGAGGTCACGAAAGGTCGAGAAAACACAAGAGTAGTGAGTCGGCTAATGGTCTCATTTACAATACCCCAACCCGGCGCCTGTCGGCGTCACTTCCTGCTGCCGCCCCGAGTGCACTTATCGATCCTCCACCTACCTCGTGTGGGGCGTATTCGGCTCCACCACCTGCACGACGACGAACGCGTGCAGGAAATGCGACGCGATCATGTCCGGCGAGAACGGCGTGTTCTCCTCCTGGAACACCACGGCGACGATGTCGTTCCCTATGTGCCTCTTCCTCTGCAACTGCTGCGGGTCGCTCTCCGTGTACGGCAGAAGCGTCGACACATGGAACATAATCTCCCTGTCCTTGAACACGTCGTAGACCGCCTGGTCGCCCGTGTGTCCGTTCTGAATGTCCAGGCCGCCCCTGTAGCCCTTGTGGTCCTTCAGCTGGATGCGCTGTCCCAGCAGCGAGAGGAACTCGTCGAAGGCGGCGCTGGTCGTGTTGTTGCAGAAAAGCTCCTCCTCGGTCGTCTGGCCGTACTGCTGGTACAGCACGCCGAACTTGAAATTCGTGACGAGGACGTGCTCGTCGTAGTTGGCGATCAGTTGGGAGGCTTTCGGGTGCAAGACGGGGACGAAGTTGTCGATGTTGAGTTGTTCGTTGAGGAGTTTCGCCATGCGGGCGGGGTTGGGCGAGTCGCCGAGGCAGGACGAGGGGACGATCTCGTGCATGGTGCCGATGCGCATCCGGAGGAGGATGCGGGTGTGCTCTTGGTTGGCCACGTTCTCGGTCTTGATGGAGAGGAGCACGGGGCCGAGCTGGTCGTCGGTGCCGATGAGGGAGGTGTGCTCCTGGAATGGAAGACGACGTTATAGTCAAAACTAGAAAGATATATCACCGAGGGAACTACAAATCTCGCTTTTTGAAAAAATACCATTTTTTTGCGACTTTACAGGGTGTTTCTTTTATTTGATACAATCCCTGTAACTTTTTTATTCCTAAGGGGACTCGCTAGACGAGGTATAACATTTTTCATATACATCAAACTGCAGCTTTTTTCATATTCTAGAGCGCAGAGACGAGTGCAATCAATTAAAAAAATATGTCTGAGAAATATCGTAAAAAAAGCACCATTGTATGTTTTCTATTCAAGTTTTTTGAGTCATAACCATCATAGAATCGCTTGAAAATTCGCACATGGATAAAACATCACTTTTTACAGGCCGCAGAGTCATTAAATGTTTGTTAGTGGTACAATTTGTTTAAATAATAATGTGTTTATTAAAATCAAAATATACCACAAATTAATGCAAAATACGTCGAATAATTTTAACAGGAATATCAGAGGAAAATTAATGACCTATTGGTTAGCAGAGTTTTTAACAAAAACTAACAATTATTGAAAAAAATGGGTATCAATTCGACAGAATTTGAGCAGTTAGTTCAGTACTTTGCCGATAGGAGCGCCACTAAAATTTACGGAAGCGACTTTTCAGGTAAAACCCTTATCGCCTGCTCTACCATAAGCTGATTGTTAGAGTTCTCGGCTGATTTTTTTGAGTTTTATAACAAGCCGCCAGGACCGGCCGTAGTAATCTATTGTTAAGGAAATTAACTTTTACGCAATGAGGTACTATCATAAAACCGAATTAAAACTGGGGAACTATAATATTTTTACTCCTCTCAGGATCCTGAATTCAATACACATGATTACTAAAAATTCATTGTAATATTATTGTTAATATATATTTTGCTTTCTTAATTAATAAAACTAATAAACATATTTATAATAATAATAAAAAATATATAAAATACAGGTTTTGTTTAACACGTATAAGTAGCTAAGTGTATCTACTACTTATCCCAGAAAAGAGGTGTTTTAAAAAAGCCCTACGCCCAGTAACTTCTCCCTTCATTGTTTACTCGAAAAAAGTGCTCGTATATGTTTTCATTTGCCGAGAGATCATTTTCAAAATATATTTATAATAAAAATATGCAAGTCTTGGTGATGAAAAATGTACTCCTAATAAATTATTAAAGCACATAAAAAAATAGAAACAAAATTTATTTATTTAAAAAAAATCTCTCGCAAAGGCAGGTTCCTCTTTCTTCTTGAATCAATTATTTCGGGCAATAAAGCGCCAAAACAAAATCTGCGAAGTTTATCTGCCATCTTTTTACATATATTTCTTCGTCTTTATAAATTTTTTCTATATTAATTCCTTTGGGTGTCCATACAACAAAATAAACGTGTGAAATACCCGTAACAAGCATTGGACCTGAAAGCAGTAATCATGATTTTTTTTTTAGTTTCAATTCTCTGTCTGTCAATGTACAAAATTTGATTATTTTTTTCTAACCGCTTCTTCGGGAGACAAATCTTGCGATTTTGAAGGGCATTTAATTTCGACTAATGCACTCCTATCCTCTAGAACCCTGTCTGGACTAGCAGCCAAGTAAGGAAATTGTTTTGAAATAAACAAGCCACACCGTTCAGTTTTTATATTTTTATTTATTTCAAAACACTTGACAGCTTTTTCCTCACTTTGCTGTCCATAGTATGTATGACTGTTACCTCTAAATGTACTGTACAACAGAAACTCCACAGTTTTAGCTATTGCTGTAGTCGGTCTAAGTTTGTAAATACGTCCAAAATTTGAAGCCGTAACCCTAATTTGTCTTTCTTTTGCCCAAATGTGCCTGTTGCCTAGTGTCTATTTCAATTTGGTCTAAATTCGAAGATAGTTTTCTCAAAAAAACCTCTTTGGCTGTCACAAATGTTTCTACATCCATGACAGGATTTTCTAAAAAATATTTAAACCATAATCGCAGTCGGAACCAGCATACGTAAATTTTTTACGACATATTTTTTTACGAATACTTTGTCTAAGACGAGCTTATTTTATAGACGAACAATATTTTTTTGTTATTAAACCAGGACCGTTTTAATCACAATATATTTACTTATCCCCTCTAACAAATTGATGACGTCACCTCAAAAATTTGCTGAATAAATCCTATCTAAATTGTATAAAATATGATGTTTTTTGGATTTGCATATACAGGATGACCCCAAAATTTAATTAATGCGCAAATTTATTTTATTGATTTAATCAGGAACTACAAAACCGAATGCTTTGAAATCTAATGTGAAAAAAAAAACACAATAGGCATGCAGTCGTCACGTTTCCGATAGCGAGGGAAGTACTGTCTAAACTCTTTAGACCAATTTTTTTGATTTTCCCATTTCTCCATTTCTCAATTTTTCAATGTTTCAGTTTGGGATTTTTTCACTGTTTCGATTCTTTAATTTTCCTTCCATTTTTAGGTTTTTCAATATTTCAGCTTTGGAATTTTTGCAATATTTCGTTTCTTCAATTTTTCAAATTTTTGATATCGTGTTTTCTCGGTTTTTAAATTTTTCGATATTTTAATTTTTCAGTTTTAGATTTCTCACTATTTCGAGTTTTCGATTTTTCAGTTCCATGATTTTTCAATTTGTCGAATTTTTAAATTTTAGATTTTTTGTTCTCGATCATTCAATTTTCTGAGTTTTCAGGCTTAGACTTTTTTGTTGTTCAATTCTTGGATTTTTAAAATTCCTGTTTTTTAAATTTTCCTATTTATCAACTTACTGGGATTTCAATGTTTTGATTTTTTGATTGTTCAATTTCTCGATTTTTTGAATTTTTAGTTTTTGATACGATTTTTTTTTCAAAAATTTTCAAGTTATCAATTTATTAACTTTACGATATTTCAGTTTTACGATTTTTAAATTTTTTTAAATTTTTTTATTTTTCAGTTTTCAATTTTTGACGTTTCTAAATTTTTCGATTTTTCAATTTTTCGATTAACTGATTTTTTGATTTTCCCATTTCTCTATTTCTTGATTTTTCAATTCTTTCTTCAATTGTGATTTTTCAATTTTTCGATTTCTGGATTTTTCAATGTTTCAGTTTTGGATTTTTTCACTTTTACGATTCTTCAATTTTCTTTCCATTTCTTCTTCAGTTCTGCGTTTACTCAATTTTTTGATATTTCAGTTTTGGGATTTTTCAGTTTCGAAGAGTTCAAAATTGTATATATGTAATAATTTTTCGAATTTTCGATCTTTTAGCTTTTGGTTTTTTCAATTTCATGATTTTTTCAACTTTCAGCTTCGTTTTTCCGATACTTCATTTTTACGATTTTTTTGGATTCCTCAATTTTTCGTTTTGCCAAATTGTCAATTTTGGCATTTCTAGTTTTGGATTTGTTGATTTTTCGAGTTCTCAATTAAATAACCGATTTTTCGAACTTTCGGTTTCACAATTTTTTCACTTCTCCATGTTTCGATTTCTCGATTTTTTGACTTTTCAGTTTTTCAATTTTTCAAATTTTTTGATTTTCCATTTTTTCAATTTTTCACTTTTAAACTTAACTTATTTAATTCAATAATTTTTAATACAAATTTCAAATCTTCATTTTTTCGATTTTTAGATTTTTTGATATTTCAATTTTTTACTTATTTAATTTTTAATAATTTCAGATTTCTCGATTTTTTTGTTTGTTTTTCTATTAAATATTTGTATATTTATAAGTAATTTTAGGTATATATAAATTTATGTCAAGGTATATTAACCGTTAATAAACATTACATTATATTAGATTTTTTAGTTCTCCGATATTATCAAGTCTTCAATTTTTCGATTCTTCTTTCAATTCAATTTTTCAATATTTTGAATTTTAAGACTTTTCGATTTTATGAATTTTTGGTTTTGCCAGTCCTCAATTTCTCGATTTTTCGCCATTTCAGCTTTTTGATTTTTCGACTTTTCAGTTTCTACTTCTTTGATTCTGCATTTTTTGATATTTTTTATTTCGATCTCTTCGAGTTCCCAGTTTTTTCGATCTCGATTTTTGTAATTTTCAATTTTTGATTTTACAATTTTTCGAGTTCCCGATTTCTCGAATTTTCGTGTTGATTTTTTGAATTCTCAATTTCTCGAATTTTTATTTTGATTTTTCGAACTCCTTAATTTTTTAGTTTCTCGAGTTCTTGATTTGTAGAGTTCTCGATTTACAATTTCTGAATTCTCGAATTTTGATTTTGATTTTTTTAATTCTCAATTTCTCAATTTCCCGAATTCTCAATTTCTCAATTTTTCAATGTTTCAGTTTGGGATTTTTTCACTGTTTCGATTCTTTAATTTTCCTTCCATTTTTAGGTTTTTCAATATTTTAGCTTTGGAATTTTGCAATATTTCGTTTCTTCAATTTTTCGAATTTTTGATAGTGTGTTTTCTCGGTTTTTAAATTTTTCGATATTTTAATTTTTCAGTTTTTAGATTTCTCACTATTTCGAGTTTTCGATTTTTCAGTTCCATGATTTTTCAATTTGTCGAATTTTTTAAATTTTAGATTTTCTGTTCTCGATCATTCAATTTTCTGAGTTTTCAGGCTTAGATTTTTTTTGTTGTTCAATTCTTGGATTTTTAAAATTTTTGTTTTTTAAATTTTCCTATTTATCATCTTACTGGGATTTCAATGTTTTGATTTTTTGATTGTTCAATTTCTCGATTTTTTGAATTTTTAGTTTTTGATACGATTTTTTTTTCAAAAATTTTCAGGTTTTCAATTTATTAACTTTATGATATTTCAGTTTTACGATTTTTAAATTTTTTTATTTTTCAGTTTTCAATTTTTGACGTTTGTAAATTTTTCGATTTTTCAATTTTTCGATTAACTGATTTTTTGATTTTCCCATTTCTCTATTTCTTGATTTTTCAATTCTTTCTTCAATTGTGATTTTTCAATTCTTCGATTTCTGGATTTTTCAATGTTTCAGTTTTGGATTTTTTCACTTTTACGA